AAACTTCTCTCTTGTTGAGTCATTGTATTTTGGGTCATTGTCATTTGGGTTATTTTTTTAAAATAAATTAATTTTATTTATTTATTTATTTTTGGCTGTGTTGGGTCTTTGTTGCTGTGCGCGGGCTTTCTCTGGTTGCGGTGAGCGGGGACTACTCTCCGTTGTGGTGAGCGGGCTTCTCACTGTGGTGGCTTCTCTTGTTGCGGAGCATGGGCTCTAGGCGTGCGGGCTTCAGTAGTTGTGGCACCCGGGCTCAGTAGTTGTGGCTCGCAGGCTCTAGAGCGCAGGCTCAGTAGTTGTGGCGCACAGGCTTAGTTGCTCCACGGCATGTGGGATCTTCCCAGACCAGGGCTTGAACCCGTGTCCCCTGCATTGGCAGGCAGATTCTTAACCACTGTGCCACTAGGGAAGCCCAGGACATCTTTATTATAAGAGTTTAATCTTTCATCCTGATTATTTGCTTCTTCCCCAGGGATCCAGAAATTTCCTTATTCATCCCACTATGTCTAGGCCACAGCACCAAATGTGTAAGACACATTAGAAGATTCCACTGTTCCTGTTGTATCTGAAGGCTGGCTCTGCATCTAGATCAGAGTCATCTCCTGGTAATAACTTTATTAAAGAACTCTTGATCCATATATACTTAAAACCAACACCCCTTAAGAAACAATCATCTCCATTTCCTTGTACCGTGCTGCCATAACAAAACTTACTCTATTCCTGGAAAGTAGCTGCAAGAAGAAGGCCAAGGTAGGGGGAAGATGAAGCAGAAAATAAGACAACTGTAGATGGAGGATGCCTGGAGGGACCCATAGGAATCTGAACTGTGGGTTCACCTGGGCCAGGTGAAGGGGCAGGGAGAGCTGAAGGACCACAGACTGGGAGAAATGGACCAGAGGTGCCCAAATGACTCCCCATGGGCCTCTGATAGAGGAAGTGGAATTCTCAAAGTCTGCACACTGCTCTCTTATGGTTCTAATCCCCAAGAAAACTTGACCTTCGCTGGCTGACTCACTGGCTTCCTCTTTGGTTTGTCATTATCAGTCAAGATTTTTACATAGCCTATGACATTTAGAAAGCCTTCCTCCTGACACACACCCCTCCCCTTTTGGAATGTGCTCCTGGGCAGACTAAGAATTGCTCTTTAAAATGTTTAACTGAGCTCATGATTTAGAATGTGCGGATTGAATACCCTCTTTCGAAAGCCAAGAGCTATGGGAGTCTAGCCGACATGGGATCATGGGGGAGAGGAGAAAAACGAAGGAAGGACATGGCGCCAAATAGCCACAGGTGGGAGCCAGAGTGGGGAGGAGGGCTGGCCTCACTTTGTCACACCACTGGCCCGAATCACAGGGCAGGGCCGGAAGGGAAGTGCCAGTTGCAAATGTTCCCACCTCATCTCACAGCTCACCAAATATTATGGCCTAGCACATAAAAGCCAGAGGACTAAGCTGCCAGGAGTGTTAAACTCAAGGAGCTGTGACCAGAAGCAGGTGGGCTCTGGGGATGGGAGTCGGGAGGCGGCTATGGCAGGCCAGCGGCTCCCATTAAGCACCGTGGCTCTCAGGCGGCAACTGAAACCAAGCAGGAAACTCAGCCCTTGCCCCAAAGGCCACCTCTGCCTCCTGCCTCTCCATGGTGAGAGCATTTAGGGGAGTCCCGCACCTCCTTAGCAGGAGCAGGCTGCCTCTAAGTAGAAAATAAAGGCTTTCAAGCCACATAAATCAATGAAAATTAGCAGGAGTCAAGATGAAAAATCTATCCTCCATCACTTGGATGTTTGAGCCAAGGTTCCTGGTGATTTAGAGCCATATAATTAGAGTGATCTGATCTCTCTCTCCCTCCCTCTCTCTCTCTCTTTTTTTCATCCTCCCTTCCCTTTCCAAAGTCCTCTCCTATGAGTCAGGTTCTCCTCTGGCTGGAAGCAAGTGCATGCACCTGTCAGCTCGGCACCATGATGGATCTCTGTTCTATCTTGGTTAGCCTCCGCCCCTCCTGCCTCTTAATGAACAGCCTGCCCCAGGGTAGGTATGAGCTGTGGGTGAGGAACCCACACCCTGAAGAATGCTGTAGAAGTAGAGAGGTGTGTCTGCTGACCCCAAGTGAAATGCGGCATCATCTCAGAAGTGGAGGAGGGGGGCTGGGGTAATCAGAACCCCTAACCTCTGAACTGGGGAGAAGATTGATGATGGCATGAAAGTTTCCCAGCCCTGCGCCCCCTGCCAGATTAGGAACGTAATCCAGCAGCTGAGGGAAATATGAGCTGTGATCCATAGAGGTTAGGGGCCTGGATTTGCCTCAGAAAACAGGGACCTAGAGGGTGGTATGGGAAGTGAAGGTGGAATTTAGAGTCAGAGAGACACAGGTTCAAACCCCATCTCTATTACTTACCACCTAGATGACCATGAACAAGTTTCTCAAGCTCTTTGAGGCTCAGTTTCCACATCTTGAAAATTAAAATAGTGATACTATCTCACAGAGCGGTAGTGAAGACTACATGAAGAAATGATGTAAAGTTGCCTGAATGTAGTAGCATCGTTTACAACATGGTACCTTCCTGCCTCTCAACTCTGCTTCTTGTGCAAGGCTGTATAGCAAGTTAGGAAAGGAATCAGAGCTCCAACCTGGGTCTCCTAACTTCTCATCCAAGACCTGGTATCTAGCTCAGGAATCTACCCCCTACAGGCTCTCAGTAGATGGCTTAACTGAATGGCAGAGAGAGCAGAATTAGAAGTTTCCTTTAGGAGGCAGACTAGAGCATGCCCGCGCTGAGGAAATAAGACTCATACCCAGCATGGTTGTTGTGCAGTGTACAATGCCAGGTTCAAGTCCTGACTCAGCCACTTACAAGTCAAGACCCTGGGCAATTCCCCAGGCCTCAGTTTCCCCCAATGTAAAGTGGTTATAATTGTAATTCTTGCCACAGGGTGGTTCTGAGGTTCAAAGAAAAAGTGGGTGGGAAAACCCTCTGCAAAGAATTCTATATGTATAATGGAATAAAATGTATATGGAATACATAATTACACTGTAAATAATTTCATTGACAGAATTTCTCTTAGGAAAGAAACTCTGCTTAGAAAATGCCTTTATATGTGCTTGTCACGTGGCAAATGTTACCACAACTTTAGAGAAGAGAGAGGATTGCTCTGATGAGAGAGAGGAAGAAGGAGAAAAGAGAGGAAGGGGAGTGAGGCTCCAACAGAATAGAGAGAGACCAGGTGTGGTGAAGAGGTGAGTGAAATTCCATACTGGTTGGAATGACCTGTGCGTGTTTTAAGAACACTGATGCCCATTGTGCCATCTAAGCTGTTTGTGCTGTGTACTCTACGCTCTTCCTCTTGCGCCCCTACAAAGTCATTGGGTGTACATCTATTAAACTCACCATTTTTGGAGCACCGACCACATACATCTGGTGATTAATACACATTCTTTCATTTATTCGTCCAGTAACTTGCCACAGATAAAGAAACTGAGGGTCAGAAAACTTGGACAACTCGCTCAAGGTCACATGAGTGGCAGCTGGTAGGGGAGGGATTTTGATCAGTGTCCAGCTCTGGGTATTGGACCCTGTTGCCCCCTGGGCCCCAGTTTTCTGAGGTTAGAAAGGTCACTTAACCGCCCTGAGCCCCAGTTGTTCTATCTTTAAGAAGAAATGTCTCTATTGCTTCTCCCTTGCTCACTCAAATACTTGATAGATGAAAGAGGTAATAGATGTAAAGTATTTTGAGAGCTTTTAAACAAACAACCCCATTGTGAAAGTAAGCCATTATTAATACCACATCTCACATACTAAAAGGCCTGCTTAATCCGCCCTACCCTGTGGAGCTGAAGAGGACATTTCCCCCCTCTGTTTATCCTTTCCTGTCAAGCGCCAAGTCTGTTCCACTTTGTTCTCTCTCCACAGAAACTGAGCATATGGATCTCTCCTGAAAATGCCCAAGTCCAAACACCATGACCATCTCAAGTATTCCCTTCCTCCCATTCATCTCTCCAGCCCCCTCCAAAGATAGGGACTAACTAACCCCCGTGATGTGCTAGAAAATGTTTAACAAACAGCTTTCCAGAAAGAAAAGTCCTGTCCTGATCTGTAGCATTTGCCAATTTCCTTGGTGTAAATACTCCCGCCATGTCTAATTTTGAGCTGTCATTATGACATCATTGAGGGCAGAATTGGGAAGAGATGTGTAGTAGCACACCAGTATATAGTAGTTCTACCATATAGCTACAACAGACATAAATAACCCCAAAAGGTTAAGTTACAGTAAAATTTAGCAAAATAATTAAGGGATGAGTTTTTCGTATTTATTATTTTTGTTTAAAAATATAACTTATTTAATTGTAACTTTATTTAATTTTAGTTTTTTAAAACAACTGTTTTGCAAAATTCTAGAAAAGTTAAAAATCAGTGCTCGCAAAGCAGATCCAGTCTACCTCTGTGTGCCTCGCACGTGCGCACGAAAACAGACTGTAGCACAGAAGCCAAGGCGTGTTGGAGAAAGTGCCAAGTGCTCCTGTAATATATTTTTCTATTCCAGAAACAAGAATCGCACAACAAATAGTATGCTGGGTTGAAAATGGCTCCTTCAGTCTCAAAGACTCTTAAATTGGAGGTGCTCATCTAGTCCCCTCCCCTAACCACGAGCAAGAACTCCTGAGGCCATTCTCCAGGGTCCTGTATTGATCGGGATCCTGTTGGGAAAGGTATGGCACGCTCCAGCAGGGTTTGTGTGAGAAGAGTTTAATAAAGGCATATTTATAAACATACGGGCAGGGTTGAGAGAAATGCACAGGGTGGTGAAGTTAGCCAGAGTGGGGAACCATTAGCACTCTAGGTCTGAAGGGTTAGGGAAGGAACATTCCCCAGGATCTGGAAAGAGCTGTAGGAGAGAGTGCCCCACAGGAGCTGTGGCCTTCAGTTGAGGAACACAGCCACTGCCAACCTGAGGCCCAGCTGGCAGGGACATGGCGGAATAAGGACCCCCATCTCCCACTCCCCCTACCTTCAGTCTTCTCCAGTGACTTGCTGCATGATATAAACGTGTCCTCCTTCCTCTTTAAAAACTTCAGGTAGAGGCACTGTTTCTTGAGCATTGACCATTGGCTGAACCCAACCAGAAGTCAGAGGACAAGTGAGCCTGTTGAAGCAATTCATAAAGGTCACCTTCCAGCACCAGCACCAAGAGCAGGGGAGGTAAAAAGATGGAGAGGGGATTTGGAAAGGCATAGAGAACATCCAGCACAGGTCCTTGGTGGCTCACTGCAGGAAGTCATTCCCATCCTAGCATCCTAGGCTAATGCTTCTGAAACTTCAATGGACATACTAACCATTTAGGGATTACAAGGCAATTTCTGACTCAGTAGGTTTTGGTTGTGGCCTAAGATCCCAGTTGAGGCTGATGTTGAGGCCTGTGAACCACCCTTGGGGTAACAGGGTCTTAAGCCATACCCATCCCAACCCCTAAGCCACAGGGTCTGTCTACCTAAGGAAAACCAGAGCTGTAAAAACCCCCTTAGTCATTCCCTTCTCACTTCTTACCTCCCCTTCCTTTCCTTCTCTCCAGATACTCTCTGTTGTAACTCAGTTATCTAGCAACAACCCCAAATTCTGTTCTCTGTCATCCCCCTCTCCCAATGTCAAGCTACAAAGAGGTGGGTTTGCAGACCCCCAGCTGAAGGCAGCCCTCTCCACTGAAGGAAACCCTTAGGGAATATTCACAATTCCCCACAACCTCCTCTGTCTGCTTCTTTCCTCTTCTTGTCCTTACCCCTACAGTCAAAGCTACTTGAGAAAGCCAGTGACCTCCCAAAAGGAAAAAAGTTTCAGCCAAGCTCTGGGATGGGACAGGGGGAAAACGCTCTCACTCCCCACTAGAATTTTCCCCTGGGTAGAATAACGACCCAATGGCCAGTGCACTTTTGATGTTGCCAGGGTGTCATTACTGATGGCCCCTGGCTATAATTCAGGCCCCTGCTCCATCCCTGGCACCTAAGGCAAGCCCTTTTGAAGTCACAGCTCTGGAAACTGTTCATAGACTCTAAATATTGAATAAACAAATGTGCTTGTGTTTGTGTGTGGGAAGGATGGCCATCAGGAGAAAAATCTTGGGTGGTACTCCCATTCCTGGACATGTATAAGCCAGAGATGCTCCCATTTTTGGATTAATGGGACCCTCACTCAACTAGTGATGAGTGCTAGGTAGCAGCTTAAGCCTGCTTTCTTTCTTTTCTTTCTTTTTTTTTTTTTAATAAATTTATTTATTTATTTATTTTTGGCTGCGTTGGGTCTTTGTTGCTGCACGCGGGCTTTCTCTAGTTGCAGCGAGCAGGGGCTTCTCTTCGTTGCGGTGCATGAGCTTCTAATTGCGGTGGCTTCTCTTGTTGCGGAGCACAGGCTGTAGGTGTGCGGGCTTCAGTAGTTGTGGCACGTGAGCTCAGTAGTTGTGGCACACGGGCTTAGTTGCTCCATGGCATGTGGGATCTTCCTGGACCAGGGCTCGAACCCATATCCCCTGCATTGGCAGGCAGATTCTTAAACACTGCGCCACCAAGGCCTTCCTTCTTTATAGGTCAAGGATGCATGGGCTTGTGAGGCTTAGGAAGGATACCCCATGGTTAGCTGCATGTTAGGAGGAAGCAGCTGGGGCTTTAGTCCCTGGTATAAGAAAGTCTGGCCCTAGGGATATCCCCACTAATTCCAGGTATGATGCAGGTGTGTGTCCCAGCTTATACATATGCTATAAGTGCATTGCGGTGGCCAAGGGATGTAAAGTTGAAAGATGGGTCAAGGGAATGGATTAACATCATTCCTTCTCCTTGGAACCTAGATAATCTTAAGGAGGAGCAATGCAAAAACAAAGGTAATTGGACCTAGCGCCTTTGAGACTTTCCTCATTACCTATGTTCACCCGCCACAACTCCTGCATAGGATAATTTCCACGCACAGGTCTAGGAAAAGGCATAGTGAAGTGAGGATTTCCCAGGTTTGGTCTGTTAGTAAGATCAGCAAGATATCCAGACTCGATGAGTAAAAGACTCCCCAAGGGACACATGTCCAGCGCCTGGGGATAATCCTGCTTGCTCCTTTTCCCAAGACAAAGCAGAAGAGGATGAGTCCCCAGATTTCTGGCTCGGGAACGTACTGTCCCATACACTCACCGTATCATTTATTTGGCACTGATCATAAAAACCCCTGACACCACAGTGCAATTTGCAGTTTACAAGGAACTCTTCAAATACATTACCTCATTTATATTTTACAAGAAACCAGTGAGGTGAGGTGAGGTAGGTTTATCGCCATTTTATGAACAAGAAGCTGAGGTTCCAAGAAGTTAAATAACTTACCTAAGGGCACAAGACTCTTAGGTAGTAGAGCCAGGATGGGAATTCAGTTTTCCTGACTCCTAATGCAGCATGCTTTCTTTATGCTGCCTTCCTTCTCACACACTTCTTTGTCTATTAGCTACTGTTTTGGTATTTTCTGATATTGTTCCCTCATACATATGTAGGTGCCCTGCTCTCTTTGCTTTACTAATATTTCCTCAAAACCTATGATAATGCCCGCTACATAGTATGTGCTTAATAAAATTATGCTGAATGAGTGAATAAACAAAATAAATTATAAGCGGCCAGAAGGTGGGGCTCTAACTTTGACTTCTTGGGATCCCTCACAATCACTACACAGTGGAAGAGTAAATGTTACTGATAAGAAAAATGATATCCAGGGGGTGTGACTGACTCCCAGGAAGTCATCTGCCCTGGAAGGTAATACATTTTGAGGAAGAGGGTCCCTGCCGTGGCTTCTAGAATTCTATTCTTAGCATTTCTCATTACCTTCAACTGCCCCTTGCTCACCCTCAGGGTGAAGACATTTGCCCTGTGAACAGATGCCCAGAGGCTCAGGCCTGCATGTTTCTGATTCAGGAAAGAGGCACAGTGGTTTGTGTCTCCATGTGTTCCCACTGTCACCACATAGGATAAAAGGGTTTGTTTCTCTTGGCAGCCTCCACCCAACAGTTCCCCATGTGTGTGTTGCTTTCCTCAATTTTCCCCTCTACAAAATCTGGTCATGTTTAATAACAATAAATCAGAGGAGAGATTGCAGCCCGGAAGAGAAGTCCGGGGCAGCTGGGGTTTCCACATCTGGGGCCCATGCGGGTTGAAGCGATGACAATTCCTAATAAATGTTAATGGAGAACGTCCTCAGATTCATACACTCCAGCCATAATTTAGCCTGTCTCCATGCCAGATGACCTTTTGAACGTGCAGAATACACCCATCATAGCACCAGCTACAGCCCTGGATCACTTCCTGTATATGAAGTGGAAAAAACAAGGCTTGTTGTTATTGATCATATTTCTCCATTTTCCTTTCCCTGGATTTTTCTTCAAAGGCTCACAGAGCCTTGGGGCCCCCAGCCACCCAGGTGGTTAGAGGCAAGGGAGTCAAGTTGAAGGATGTTTCCCTCTGCTCCTAAAAGAGGCCTCGCAAAGTCTGACAGCCAATGCCATCCCTCAGGAGAGAGGGCTGGACATCAAAATACTGTCTACCCCCTTTCTTTGGTTTCTGAGACCCTTTGCTGATCCTGCTGGCTCTGGCCCTTTCAGCCCCTCCTCACCTTCCCGCTCCTTGTAACTAGTTGACCTTCAAGGCTGGCTTCAGTCTCTGGCTTTTCTCTTCCTACACGGTCACCTCCATGCGTCTAATGTCCGTGTGCGGTTTTCCAGCTCTGACCCCTCTCTCCAGATGCGGTCCTGAATTTCTAACCAGAGGCTGGGTGTTTTCACTTGAGAACCAGCCACTGCCTAAAATTCTATGTGTCTAAATGAACCTATCATCTCACCCAAACACAGTTGGCCTCTTCTCCAAATTTCCGTATCTCTGTTAAGTGTGCTTCTGCTCTTTCAGCTATATAGACACTCTCTGTCTGCTGCCTCCTTTTCCCATCTGGCGAGAGGGTCATTGAATTTTCCATCCCAGTCTCACTCCTTTTAACTTCCACTGCCAGCCCGTACTCCAGGCCCTCATCACCTTACTCTGAAATTTCCTCCTACCTGGTCTCTCTGCAAAGCCACCCCTGAACACAGCAATTAGATACATTATCCCAAGATGCTGTCTTGATCACGTCCTTCCCCAGCTCAGAATTCTTCTGTGGCTCCCCACTGACTTATTATTATTGTCATTCAAACTTTTTCATAATTAGGTGCCCGTTGAACCGTCTAAGATTACATAATGTTGGAGCCAGATTTTTAGACTATAGAGCCCATGCTTTTTAAAATTGTTTCCCCCTTACCTGGTCTAGTGACATGCCTAATTAGAATTCATGTATTTATTCAACAAATATTTTTGGAGCTACTGCTACATGCCAGAGTCTGCTGAGAACTGGATGATAAAGTGGTAAGCGTGATAAACACTGTCCCTGGCCATATGGAAACACTTTCTAGTGGGGGAGACAAACAAATAAAAAGAGAAAACAGGCAAATAGATAAACTAATTGCAAACTGTGATAAGTGCTAAGAAACAGCTGGGAGAGAATAAGGGAGTGCTACAATATTTTAATCAGGTCTCTAAACTCTCACCTCTGCCATCACTACCTCTTTGGTTCCTGAAGGATATGATCACTTCTTGGGAACCCACCTTCAATAGCTCCAATAAGGACAAGCATAAGTACTATTTGTAAAACAAATAATTCCCCAAGGGCATCTCTATTTTTTGTAGCCCAAATAGATAGTAAATAAATCAAGCTACATTTCTTGGACATTAAGAATCAAGAATGTAATCTAGTGACTCCTTGTTTGGACTGCAAATGGAATGGATCTTTACCTTAATGTATGAGGGACTCAGGTTAGACATGGTGAAAAACTTGCTGGCAAAACTTCAGTGGAAAAGGTGCCTGAGGGAGTGTATCAGTCGACTTTACTAAATAGTGCTATATAACAAATAACCTAAAATCTCAGAGGTTACAAAACATTTCTTGCTTACGGGTTTGCAGATTGTCTGCAGTGCCTCTGTTCCATGTTGTGGATCTTGTTCAGGTCCGTGTACCTTCTCATTCTGGGACCCAGGCCAAAGTGACAGGGGTCTGCTCTTCTCATGGCCAAGGATAGAAATGGAAAAGCCAAGCCAAGCCAAGCAAGTAGAGTTAAAATCTCTGCTTACATTTCATTGGCCAAAGCAAGTCACGTGGCTAAATCCACCATCCGTGGAGTGGGGAAGTTTTCTCCCCCCATGGAAGGGCATAGAGGAGAGTGAATATTTGCTGAACAATAATACACTCCACCGCCAGGAGGTTATGGAGTTTCCTTCACAAGTGGTCTTTACAAATAGAAGAGATTGTTATCTATCTGGGTTCCTCTGGGTACCATATTACCTGAAGTATAGCAAAGGAGGACCAGAAGACATGATTTCTTAAAGATGCTTATTTTGAAAAAAAAAAAAAGATGCCTATTTTGGTACAGGGGCAATGTAATTCGTGTTTGATATCTGGTTGCCACTGAAGCCCCTTTTCCTTTTCCACTGGAGCTGTGCCATGGGGGTGATTTGCAGCCCAAATCTTAATATCTGAGTCTCTAAGTGACTGTATACAAGTGACAGTCGCACAGCAAAAAGAAATACAGAAGAGGTTCTGATACCATCGGGGAACAGTATTCCTGCCATCAGGCCAGCTTTGTCTGCCGCTGCAGTGCAGTTAACCCTGGAATGAAATTGGAGAGCTAACTGATGGTCAGAGGAGACTGGGAAGATTTCTATTTGGAACTGAGAGAGGCAGGGCTCAGCAAAAGGCGAGGCAAGAATAGACTTTACCATGGCTAGACACATTCAGTTTACCCACATTTATACATTGTATTAAATCACTTAATGGTTTTCATATTTGAACATACTCAAATGGAAATACAGAGGAACAGCTGTGAACCCGTACCCTCAGCAGTTTTTCACTTCAAGTTTCCATATTCTGTACCCTTTTCACCCTTGACAATAACCTTTATCTCTCTTTTTACCCCAGGCTTCTTATGCTCCCTCTTCTCCCCTCTCAATATCTACTATCAGGAACTTTTTCAGTGCTGCTCAAGGTATAGGCTCCAGACCAGCAGCAGAGGCATCATCCGAGAACTTGTTAGAAATGCAAATTATTGAGCCCCTCCCCCAGGCTTGCTGAATCAGCATCTTTGGGGATGGGGTGGGGAGGGGTTGTCCCATGAAATTCTGTTTTAATGAGCTTTTCAGGGGACAACTTAAGCACATTCACGGAAGTTTGACAATCAAGGTAGGTCTGACTCAGTAGATCTAGGGTGGAACCCATGACTTGCAGTTCTAACAATATGCAGATGACATGGATGCTGCCATCTGTGGACCACACTTCCAGTGGCACTGCTTTAGAAGTCAATCACGTACACATGAAATGACAGCCAACAGTAAAAGCCTTACTGGTCCTGAGAGTATAGGATCAAAGTCTTCGTGAAAGACATGAGTCACTAATGGTGGGATTTCAGATAAGAGCCACCAAGCTAAAAAACCAAAAAGCATATTCTGGTCAGAGGGTGGACTTGGAGCCTGTGAAGCCACAATGTGTGTGATTAGCTTTCTTCCATATCTAGATCCCATCCTGGCTATGGATGATTAAAGAGGGAGTGTTGTATGGGGGGAAAAGCACAGGACTGGAAGCAGAAGACCTGGATTCTAGTTCTTGCCCTGTCACTGAGAATGGAATCATGGTTGGGTCCTTCTCTCTCTAATTCTCATCTATAAACTGAAGAAGATGAGAGCTACACAATCTCTACCACCCTTACTCTCCCCCCCCCACACTTTTTTTTTTTTTTTTTTTGCGGTACGCGGGCCTCTCACTGTTGCGGCCTCTCCCGTTGCGGAGCACAGGCTCCAGACGTGCAGGCTCAGCGGCCATGGCTCGCGGGGCCCAGCCGCTCCACGGCATGTGGGACCTTCCCGAACCGGGGCACGAACCCGTGTCCCCTGCACCGGCAGGCGGACTCTCAACCACAGCGCCACCAGGGAAGCCCCCCCCCACTTGTTTTATTACGCAAGATTACGATTACCTTAGCAACAATTTTCTCTCCAGACGCGTAAGGGTATCTCAAAAATATGGGAACGGCAAAGTGCAGAACTGAAGGCCCACTGAGTTAAATCCTTGGCCCTGAGTTACACTGTGAATCATGGGGAGAGTTAGGACCGACTCTATTCCACCACACCCCCCTTAAGGTAATGCTTGTTGAGCATCCAGGCTCTGAGCTAGACTCTCAGGGTGGGGATCCCTGCCTCCCGCTTAACGGCGTAACTTTGGGCAAGTTACTCTCTCGGAGCTGTAGCTTTCTAGTCTATAGAACAGGGACGACAATAACACCTACCTCATAGGGTTATCGTCAAGTTTAAAAGAGTTAATACATGTCAAGCGCTTAGGACAATGTCTGGCACGAGAAAAGCATTCGATAAACGTTAGGGGCTGCAACGAGGAGAAGGAGGGGTGGGGCCGGGTTAATCCCTGCCATCGAACTGTTGAAGTCTCCAGACCAGGTTGCAGGTCTTCCTGTCTCCTGTAGGTGGCGCCTCCCCTCGTTGAGCAGGCTACCAGCGTCCTGGAGCGTTTGAGGAGGAAGTTGAAGTTTCTTTACATCTCTGCTCTGTTTAGTATTTCTAGAAAGGACTCTCCTGCAATCCTCTGAAACCTGTGCTCAGGACAGCCAGGTTTGGGGAGCCCGACTTCCTTCCTGAAATGGCTTCACTCCACCCCACCTCCATCAGAGGCCACTCACCATCGCCGGGAGCCGGAGCTTCCCCTTCGGATGCAACCCTGTAGGCCTTGTCGTGGGAGGATTTAACTCCCAGCACCTGAGCCAGGGAGTTCAGTGAGTTTCTTTCCTGCTCGGTTAAAATGACAAATTGGTACATGAGCGCTTAATGAAAGATGCTGGAAACGTCCGTGGAGATCAGAAAAATCGCCTCGCCGAGCTGACAGCCAGGCCATCTGCATTCCCACATTCCTATTAATTCCTTAACAATAAACGACAGGAGTGCCTAGAGGGTTAACAGCTTAATTTAATCTCTGAGATTCCTTCGTGGAGCACTGAGAATTAGAAAGGCATTTACAAAATGTTATCTGCACACCTGATTTTCCCCACTTGATGTGTCTTCTGGAGCGGTCACACCCATTCCTGACACACCTCGCACAGAGGCTCTGCCCCTCTGGCTGATAGAACACTCTCCACTGGGCCACTCGTGGGCTCCTTGAACCACGCCATTGGGCTCCCAGCGTCACAAGATTTAGCCTCTTAGCAGTCGCCCCAAATGCCGGTTTACGTTATTTCTCCAGGGCCTTTTAGGGACAGGAAAGTCCCCAAATAGAGCTAGAAAGATGATGTCCCTGTTCCGGGTGAATTTCCTTCCCTGGTGCGGAGTAAAGGGAAGAGGTACTTGGTAGCAGCAACCAGCTTGGAGACCCATCAGTTCAGGCTTGAGAGTCTCTGGCAGATCATGAACTACTCATTGGAGAAGACCAATCCTAATGCCATTTTGTGGATAAGGAAACTGAGACCCGGAAATGTTTAATAGTTTGTTTAAGGCCATATATCCAGGTAATGTCAAAGCCTCAAAGTAGGATTCAAGTCTCCTTACTCCCAGACAAATATTTGTTTGACAATAGGGTTGGCACATAGATTTCATCTTACGAGGTAACTCCCATCACTGGTTGGTAGGGGCTGTCCAGAGCCCTGTGGACTTCTCACAAACCCTCGGTTACAGTTTGGAGATGTCTTCTAGGGACAGAGAGGAGGCAGAGGTTTCAGGTACTTGCAGTCTCTGCACTTTTCAGCCTCTGCACTGTTTCCTTTGGGTTAGGCATTAAAGGCTTTTATTAAAATGGAAATGTCATCTGGGAGGAGTAATGCATTAAGCCATTATCTGTCATTAACAACTTGGCTAGAATTCATTTAAGATTAGTTTGCTAGTTGCCCAGCAGATCCCTAAGGGAATGAGAGTTTTGACCAGGATAGGGGCCTAGGAAAGGACACAGGGCCTTGCCCTGCAGGGTGCAATATTTCAGGGCTCAGTGTAGACAGGACTTAGGAGACACTGCATATCCAGTGGGCCCGAGGTAAGAGGAAGAAGTGACCCTGAAGACTTTTGCACAACCCTCTCTTGGCTTACCTTTGCGTAGTATGGTTTCTACCAGTCATATTACCTGATTCTCGGTTTCCCCAAAGGTAAAATAAAGAGCTGGACTAGGTCACAGGTTCTCAAACCTGTACATACTAGAATCACCTGGAAGACATTTTTAAAAAAAAATACCAATGTTTGGGTCCTACCCAGGCCAATTAAATCAGAATGTCCAAGTCTGAGCCCTGGGCCTCCTTTTCCCACCTCTCTATAGAATATCCTGTTATCAGTCATTATACCATCTGGTCCTTATCCCGATACTAACATATTTTATATACTTACAATTCCAGTTTCTGTATCATTCTGCATTTTCAATGTATCAAAATCCTTTCAGAGGCAGGTAACAAGAATACTTAACAAAAAGCCTCAAGAGCAGTTTTCACTGTCTCACAAAAGAAGTCTAGAGGTCCTACTTTGGTTCATCAGCTGAAAAGTACTACAACTGAGCAGACTTCTTTCATCCTTTTATTTCTTTACTCTCAGCATTGGCTCTTGGTCTTTAGACTTGCTGTTGCATGGTTGCCATAGTTGAAGAATCATGTTTTCATACAACTGTGTTCACAGCCATGAAGGAAAAAAGCGCAGGGGCCTCATGCATGCTCATCCTTTTAACTAGAAGAAAAATGTCCCCAGACATCTCCCAGTACGGTCTTCCTCTTACTTCTCATTGGCCAGAACTGGCTCATGTGGCTGTCTTTAGCTTCAAGTGAACCTGGGAAATCAAGAGTCTGGTACTTTCAGCCTTTATCAGGAGAGGCAGCTCTGCTAGAAATAAAGAAGGGTGAGTATTGGGTAAGCTATTTAGAGAATCTGCCTAATTGCAGTAAATATATTTGGTAACACATAAGACATAATTAAATATCTATAATAACAGTTAGGGACCTAAATGCAGCTGCTACTTTATATATTACTTCCTTAAGCAGCTAAAGCCTTTTATTCATATCTGCAGTGCTAGCTCCTGAGAGACCACATCCTCCTACCTAGGCAGGAAGTATAAAAGAAGATCAAGGCCATTTAGATGTGTTTTGTTAACTTGTGATGTGACTATAAATGTCTTCCTGAACAGCAGACTCCTGTCATCTGGGATCTGATTCCTCCACCCCATCTTGCCAACTGACTTCACAGCGTTTAGACCTTTATCATACTCTTAAACAAGGCAGACCACGCATCTGCGCCTTCATCTCCAGATCCCAGACCACTGCTGTTTGTCTGTCCTTGACCTGAGAGCTCTCTAGCAGTCCTATCTCCCTAACAGACAAACCCAATTCTGCTGCTGGGAGTGTGAATAAGAAAATAATAATAATAATAATAAAGGTATGTATACATGCACTGAATGAAACAGAATACATATGGAACAAACCAAATGTGTCAGTATTGAGGGGATGCTAAACAAAGGGAACCTCAGCTGGGTTAATCAGATCAGGGCTGGTCCCTGGCAAAATATGACATTTTGAAAATGGTCTTTGGTTAATGGCTTAATACCCTTACTATATAAAGAGTTCTTAAAAGTCTACAGTATAGGAAAAAAAAAAAGGCCAAATACCCACAAAGAAAAGGAGGTAAGGAGTAGAACTAGTATTTACAAAAGAAGTAATACAAAAGGCCATAGATGCATTTTTAGAAGTTCTTTACGGATAATCTAATAAATATAAATCAAGACGAGATACCAGTTCTTTCAACTTGACAAAAGTTTAAGAAGGTTCTAAAAAATATAATACTTAATGTACTGGATAAGCTCAATAGCACTTGGTCCATTCCTACTGTTTCTGGTGTGTGTGGGGGGGTTTGTTTGTTTGTGTTTTTTTTTCTTTTTGTATTGCAGAGGCTGGAAAGCTAAATATTACATTTTCCAGTTAGGATTCTAGACGTGAATTAGGTTTCAATAATTAAATGCACTTTCCTGAGATTTGGATGATGGTGTCTGCAGCTGTCCAAAGCCTTAAGCTTTGGGTCAGATCCTTTAAACTACTGAACATTGTAGAAAATAACAGGCTTAACAATAACTAATGTGTATGGTGCTTTAAATAAGTTAAAAAGCAAGTTTCCCATATGTAAGCTCAAGGAAATAAAGTATTTAGTTCCCAATCTGGTTTCATGCCTCACCTGTCTCTTTGTTGGGCCTCAGTTTCCTCTTCTGTACAGTGAAAGGGATTTATTAGATGACTCCTGCCACCTTGACAGCCTAGCCTCATGCCATCAAACACAGTGCTGGCTCCTTTCTCCTGGAGGAGTCTGCCACGCAGGTGACCCTAACCTAGCTTGAAGGTCAGTGGGAGAACCCCAAACTCTTGAGGCAGATCAAAGTTCATCTCTTTGGTCAACTCATTTGCTCAGGGTGGAGACCACACCTACTCTCAGTGTTAGTATCCATGTGCTTTGCCATTTTAGTTCTATGACTCTCCTACACAAGTGGGTGGGTGACATCGTTTCAGGAGTCCTGAAATAGGAGTTCTTAAGACCCTCCTGTCAACTATTTCCCAATACCACCCCCCCTTCCTGAATGCTGGCATGCTGGCATACTGCATTCACCATTAGAAATGGCTCCATTAGGTCAAGGAATTGTTTCTAGCTTAAGTGAAAATACATTATCAAAGGAAGTAATACATTAACATATTAACCCCAGCTGACCTCATTAGCACTCATTAGGCATGAGGTTAGCTAACAAGTTATCAGTTTGGAGGGCAGGGAGCAGGTCTGGAAGAGAAAGGGAGGATGGATAAAGTCTGACCTGAAGATGGGGTTCTCAGGGAGGACAAGGCTAGGTGAGGTGCTACAGGGGACACAGTAGGAAATACGGGGGCAGCATGAGTGTACTTCGTTCGTTCATTCAAACAAATAAACATGTGTGAAGACTTCATTACATGCCGGGCACAATGTTAGGTGTTGTGGATACAGAGGTGAATAAATATTAGTCTTAGCTCCTAAGGCAGATACAGTCTAGCCGGGGAGGGGGAGGACCAAATGTAAAATGAGCAAGAAAGTATTACATACAGTATATGTCCTCAGTGTGCGCACAAAAGAAGGAGAGGACCATTCTTCCTGGAGGCATCAGAACAAATTTCATGGAGGCAGGATTGCTTTCCTTCCTGGTGTGAAGAAGGAGCCACTAGAGGAGGAGGGAGGGGAAACAAACTGCAGCTACCTCGAAACTTCTTATCTAGGGCCAGCCTTGATAAAGGAAATGAAAGACTTTCCTTGTGATTGGATAATGAGGCAAAATAAATTTATAGAGGCATTGGAGGCAGAGTCCCATTTGATTCCTTCGGCAGCTGGAAGGCAAGCTGCTTGCCCAGTGCCTGTGGGTCACCAACAGCAACATGGAGTAGAGTTTGTGGTGGCTGAGAGTGTGGGCTTGGCTGTCACACCCTGGGTTTGAACCCTGGCTCTGTGACCTTGAACGAAGTACTTACCACCCCTGGTTCCAGTTTTCTTGTTTGTAAAATGGGGAGAAAAATCATACCCATCTCATGGAGTTGGGAGGATTAAATGAAATATGCATAGAAAGCACTCAGCAATTGTGTCAATTACCAGGTAGTTTCTGAGATGTGTTCTATGAAACAGAAATGACCTGATTCAATGGCAGAGCCCAGGAATCCTAGCTCCAGTTCAGAATCTTTGGTCTCACTGATGAAAGCAACAGTTTCCCCATGGTGTCCCAGGGATCTTGTGAATCTTTTTTTATAACCCTTTTGCCTGCCTCATCCAATTCTTTTCCCATCCAATTCTTTTGTAATTATAACCATGCCTCATGTTCAGAAAATTCAGGACAGGAAAATCTGAGTGTGTTTAACAGATACACCTAGGGTTCATTATTCATATTACAAAATAATTATTTGTTTTACAAGAGAATTAACCTTTACAAAGTTAATTTCCTGTGTACATGCAAAACTGAATGCAGAATATAAAAACTTTACACACAGCTTAGAATCATAAAATTGTGAAACCTCAGATAGAACTGACCTTTGAAACTATCTAGGCCAGCGGTTTTCATAATTTTATTGTAGCAGCCCTATTTCTTTCTTTATTTTTTTAAACATCTTTATTGGAGTATAATTGCTTTACAAAGGTGTGTTAGTTTCTGCTGTATAACAAAGTGAATCAGCTATATGCATACTTATATCTCCATATCCCCTCCCTCTTGCGTCTCCCTCCCACCCTCCCTATCCCACCCCTCTAGGTGGTCACAAAGCACCGAGCTGATCTCCCTGTGCTATATGGCTGCTTCCCACTAGCTATCTGTTTTACATTTGGTAGTGTATATATGTCCATGCTGCTCTCTCACTTAGTCCCAGCTTACCCTTCCCCCTCCCCGTGTCCTCAAGTTCATTCTCTACGTCTGCGTCTTTATTCCTGTCCTGCCCCTAGGTTCTTCAGAACCATTAGCAGCGCTGTTCCTTTAGAAGTCTGTCTTAGATTTCCTAGCTGCATGATGCAGAGGAAGGCAGAATTAACTCGGTTAAACCAGGGATGGGGAAGAGGCAGCTCTCACTCCCTTAGCCTCTTGCTCTATCCCAGAAGCAGCTTCGGAATCCCTCCAAGGAACCCTAGGGCTTCTAGGAACATAAATTTGAGTTCCACTGATCTACCACGGCCATCTTACTCTGTACATTCCTTTCGTAAAACTTGATACTCCTGTATTTCTGTTAATTCAACTGTCTTATTTTCTTTTTTAAATTATAGGTTCCTTGAGGGCAAGAACCTTTTTGTTTAAATTAAAAAAAAACTCTTAGTGTATTGCTCTGCATGTAAATGGAGTATTTAAGGTCTTGTTAAAGTCCTCCTGTTAGTGGCAGAAAAAACAGAAGCCATTAGTATATATAAACACCCTTTATTAAATCTTTGAAAAGTGATTTCATAGAACCACTGAATTTTCAGCTCGAAGGGACCTTAGAGAATGTGTACTTTCTCATTTTCTGGATGTGGAAACTGGGGCCCAGATAAGTGATTCGGTTGATGTCATGCTGTAAGTTAATAGCAGAGCCGGGACAAGAGTGCTAGACACCTGATTCTTGGATTAAGGCCGTTGCAACTTCTAACAAGAGGCTGCTCTTACACTAGTAGAATATTATATTTGTATTCCTGAAAACACACGTAAGCTACCTACAGATCCCTTTCTTTTCTCAACAGTTAATCCAGAGAACTATCTTAATAATCAAAGGCCTATGTTTTATTACGTAAATTTTTAAAAATTATAAAAGTAAAAATGGACTGACATAAGGAGATGTCCAGGATATGGCAAATAGAAATGCAAGTATTATAGGTGGGATGATCCCATTTTGTTTAAGGCTTAGGGTATTTCTCTAAGGTAGCTGAACATATTTTTCTATCACACATGACTCAAGTATCTAATGAACATTCAAGTATCTAATGATGTGACAACCACACCTGTTAATTTATATAAGTTGACACCGGTGCATGACTCTAACAACTGTAAGAGGTTTTTATTTACTTTATCTTATTACATTTACCATTGCACAGTGTTGCATGGTATATATGCATCATAATTTATTTACCCAATCCTCTATTGGCAACATTTAGGTTATCTCCAATTTTTCAACAAGCTGCAGTGAAATTCCTCACACAAACATCCTTTTGCAGAACACAGCATTTTTGTGGGACAAATTCCTAGAAGTGGAATTGCTGGATCAAATTTTGACATACTGTGTGGTATCTATTCTCAGGTTTTTCTTTTGCTGCTGAGACTAAAATGAATAAACCCCGGCATCCGTACATAACTTTGTAGTTTACCAGGGCTTTCACAAACATGATGTTACTTGAACTTTTTAACAACTCATGTGGGTTTACAGATGAGGAATATGAGGTTTAGATAAGTTAAGTAATTTGCTCAAGTCATTTAGTTAGGGAAGGTAGAGCCAGATTTGAAAACTAGGTCTTCTCACTCCAGGTGTAGGGCCGAAAGTCCCCAATGAAAATACAGAAATAAAGCATTAGGATGGGAACAGGAATGTGAACATGTTCTCTTCGGGCAACAGAGACCGCTAATCTGGCCTATTGGTGGATAAAAACTGGGGCATAGACATCATCTGGCCTTCACCTTAAAATCACCTTAATACCTTAAAATCATCCTGAGAGCAATTCAGTTGTATCCCCGGAAACAACCACTGCCACAGTCTCCCGTGGTGAGAAGAGGTTCAAAAGCGTATTGATGAGGGACTTCCCTGGTGGTCCAGTGGGTAAGACTCGGCGTTCTCCATGCAGGGGGCCCGGGTTCGATCGCTGGTCAGGGAACTAGATTCTGCATGCATGCTGCAACTAAGAGTCCGTGTGTCACAACTAAGAAGTCTGCATACTGCAACTAAAAGATCCCGGATGCCGCAACTAAAGATCCCGAGTGCAGCAGCTAAGACCTGGCTCAGCCAAAATAAATACATAAATATTAACAACAACAGAAAAAGAGTATTGATGAAACCATTTGTGCCCTAGATATAGAGGAGAGGAGAAGCCCTAAGATTTGCTAACTAGACTCACTGGACAGGCCTTTGTGAGAGAAGAGGGGTAAGTGTGTGTGGCGGGGAGGCAGCATAAGGCACTTTTTCTTCTGGAGACGGAGGACTCTGCTCTGCTGCATTTCAACTTGCTAGGGGGTTTCTAGCATGGGCTGGGGCCCAATAAATAGCTCTGACAGTAAGGTTGTCCTTGTGCAAACATCCCTTTTTCCTGTCCATGCAAACTACTGATGGATGCTAAAGCAATTAAGTCTTATTTGGTTTAATAGACATTTGACGGGCACCTACCATGTGTAAGGCCCTGAGGATGTTGACTTAGTTTGGGCTGCTATAACATAATACCATAAACTAGGCAGCATAAACAATAGACATTTGTTTCTTACGGTTCTGGAGACTGGAAGTCCAAGATCAGGGTGCCAGCATAGTGAGGTTCCTGGTGAGAGTCCTCTTCCTAGTTTACAGATGGCTGCTGTCTCCTTGCTGTATCCTCCTCACATGGCCAAGAAAAAAAGGTTTCAGCTTCTCTTCCATTTTATAAAGGCATTATATCCCAACATTGGGGCCCCACCCCCATGACCTAATTTAACCCTGATTACCTCCCAAATGTCCACTTCCGAATATCATTATATTGGGGATTAGGGTTCCAACATATGAATGGGTGTGGGGCACAAACATTCAGTCCACAGCAGATGGGAGACTAGCAGTGCACAGAGGTCTCTGCCACAAGACTAGGGGGTCTTCTGTAGCACCTCCATTCTCAGCCACCCAACTCTACCCAACCCTAGATCTCTTGGGAGCAGAAGCTGATTGGGTGGGAGCAGAGCTAGCAAAGGCCTGTCTTGTCACACCACTGCCATGGACCGGCGGCTGTGAGGGGGCCTTGGCAACCTTTCAGGCCTGGGCTATCTCTGGCTCGGTCTCCTCTTCTGAGACCCTGTCTCCAAGCTGCATATTATGCTAGTAGGACCCAGAGAGATTTATTTGGTGACCTTTCGGGATGCGGAATCCAAGCAGGGGGAGGGAGCAAGTCAGCTCCGAAGTGGTTAATTTTACTGGCTCTTAAATTGATGAGCGGTGGGACGTCAGTCTGAAATGAACTCGCCTTGTTCCAAGGGGTTCTAAGACAGCGGAACTCAATCAGCAGCGGGCCGCACGGTTCAAGGCTGCAATTCATCCCCCGTGCCTCTGAAAAATGGGAGGTGACAGTTCATTTTGCCAGTGACAGTCTGTCGGTCTCGCTCGCTGCTTCTCCTGTCGACTGCCTGGCTGAAGTGAAGTGCAGCTCCAAGACACCCTCGTTTGGTATTCCACTCAGCTGAGCAGGACGGTCCCAGGACCCAAGGTGTGCAAATCTTACTCTAGCCCCGCAGCTTGTCTTCTTCCCCTCTTCATGCATGCACGAAATGCCGATACATGATTGCGTGTCCCAGGAGCCATCTTCCCACTTCCTAGGCCTCAGCTTTACTTCCAACTTCCACTTCCGGCGGACTGGGTTTCCTCCTCCCTTCGGGACCTTGTATTGTAGAACAAAGCCGTCCTGTTCAGAGGGCTTCCAGCTTCCTGACAGAGGACTAAGGGCAAGGTGCGGTATGGACATGGGTGTGGAGAAGTTGCTGCTGCCAGTGGGGGCATGGAGGGAAAACAGATACACTCAGCAGGACACTGCCTTCCCCACCAGGGCCTCGGCTTTTGAGGAAACTCCTGAACAAGGGCAGAGAGAGAGAGGAAGGAGAAAGGGAGGTGACCCTGTGATGCATGCACTTAATCCTGGACTGCCCTCCTTCCCCAGTACTTTCTACTTCCCTTAAAAAAAAAAAAGAATTAGAGCTCATGTATCTTTGTTAACTTTCCTCATTTTGATAACTGGTGTCATCTAAGGAAATATCCTCATTCTTAGGAAATACTACTGAAGTATTCACGGGAAAAGGAGCATGATATCTGAAATTTACTCTCAGATGGTTTGGAAAAAATATGTAAATTTACATAAATAGAAAACAATAAAGCAAACGTGACAAAAGCTAACAATTGATGAGTCTAGGTAAATGGTATACAAGAATTCTAGTACTGGGGTACCTAAACTTTTCTGTAAGTTTGAAATTAATTCAAAATAAAAAGTATTAAAAAAAACCCCAAGAGACTTACCTTCAGCACTTCCTCAATAAGCGTTTGTTTAGAACCTACGATGATGCACCAGGCACAGTAAGTGCTGAGGATACAGTGGTGAACATGATAGGAAAGGTCTGGACCCTCAGGGAGGGTTGGGAGGGAAGACAGGTGGTAGACAGGTAGTTACAGATGGGACTTGAGTTTTGAATGGTAGGTCTTAGTGCTACAGGAACGTATGAGAAGGAAACAAGCCAGCCTGGAGAGCCAAGGATGGTTACCAGAGGAAATGATGTTTAAGTTGAGACTTGAAGCATGAGTAAGGGTCAGCTGAATGAAGGGTAGGGGGGAAGAGTGTTGCAGAGGGAGGGAACAGCACATGTGGAAAAATGAAAGTGGGAGTGGGTGTGTCTCAATGAGAAACTGCAAGAAGTCTGCTACTGAAGATGACAGAGAGTAAGAGGACCATTTGGCAGAGGAGATAAGCAAGAGGTCAAGCATGGTCGGGGGGATGGGGACATACTAGCCATATTGAGGGGTTTGGAAGCATAATATTGGGAGGCTACTAAAGTTTTAATTAGTGAGGGACATAAGCAGATTTTTTAAAAAAGAGATCACTGGCTATAATGTGGAAAATAAGTTGACAGGGTATAAGACTAGGGGGCTGCAAGATGAGAGGTGATGGTGGCTTGGAAGAGGAGAGAAGGCAGCAGGGCTGGAGAGAAGTGGAGAGTTTGAAAGATATTTAGCAGGTGGAATTGGCAGAGGGAGAAAGAGGAATGAATGACCCCCAGGTTTCTAGATTGGGCAATTGGATTATCCACAGTACCATTTACTGACCTGGGGAAGATGGGAGGAGAGGGAGAGTTGGCTAAGAAGGGGCCAGTGGTTATCTTTGTGAAATCTGGGTCCACCCTGAACATATCACAACCAAAAAATATAACACCTAGTAAAGCAGAGTCCCAGACAGGCTGGAACTAAGGCTCCAGTGAATGAACAGAGCAAGGATCTAAACCCCTGTCTGACCACACCCCTGATTTTCAAGGGCCCAGAAGTCCTGTAAGAGAGAATTTGAACCTTTTCTATTGTGATTTAGGCATATTCAGGCAGCTCTGTAGGGAGCTGTGACGGATAGATTGCTTTACCTGTTCAACAACTCTACCCACCTTTAGAAACAGCTATCTGTGTTGTCTAGGAATTTCTTCTCCCTCATTTCCACTCATGTGGTTTCTGTAGGAACTGCTATGTTCTTACATAACACTGCCCCCATGACCACAACTGACCTGGGTTGGGCCAATGAGAGCCGTTCTATGGCCTAAGAAGCAATGGAATCCAGGGGCCCAAAGACAAGCTGCATTTAAGGCCTGCCTTCCATGTTCAGTTATTCAAGGCTTCCTTGGAATCTTGGTGACAATTAATTTCTTTTTTTTTTTTTTTTTTTGCCTAAGGCTGTTTGATTTGGGTTTCTGTCTCATCCAATCAATCATCCATGGGACCCTTAAAGAAGCCGGGTTTTTGGAAAGAAAAGGAGACTGCTGAGAGGAAGAAAATCACAAAAGTAAGGATGGAGTCGGCAGATGGGCCACACTCAGTGACAAACTTTGAGTGGAAGGCAGCATATGGTTATTCTTAAGCCCTCCTGACCCAGCCCTGGCAGGTACTGAAGTCTCTGTCAGGTGAAGGGTAAGCAAGGCCACACCTTATGGGCAGCATAGCAAAAGTAGACACTTTTCAATAAAAGCCAAGGGACAAATAAGAACCAATGGGCTGACAGAGGCAGAAGTGATGCAAATCTGTGAAATAACCCTGGAAATATCAAAAAGACACAAGAGGGCTTCCCTGGTGGTGCAGTGGTTGAGAGTCCGCCTGCCGATTCAGGGGACACGGGTTCGTGCCCCGGTCCGGGAAGATCCCACATGCCATGGAGCGGCTGGGCCCGTGAGCCATGGCTGCTGAGCCTGTGCGTCCGGAGCCTGTGCTCCGCAACGGGAGAGGCCACAACAGTGAGAGGCCTTCGTACCGCAAAAAAAAAAAAAAAAAAAAAGACACAAGAAAGGAGGAAGACAGACTGAGATCATCACATCTGAGAGATGGGGGCTGTGATCCAGTGGTCTTAGGGACAAATTGTTAAAGTGATCTCACCTGGTAGTACCTGGGAACCCACACTAAAACTTATTAGTACAAAGAGCAGCCACTGAGGAAGATCAGATCTGAGCCAGGAGTTTAGTAAAGTTGACCAAAGATGGAAGATTCCAGAGGTCAATGATCAAAGCTCCTAGGGAAAAAAATTCTGAGATAAGCATTGCTTGCCTTCAGATCCCTTTCGTTCTCCATCCTTCCTTGGTATCCAATCCCTCAAGTTGATTTTAATATTAATACTTAATTTTTAATATTCACCCAGGCCTGAATTCTCTTCTCTTGGGTAATGCTGAGCGTCCCAGATATTTCTTGCTTTCATGTCCTATCAAAATTTACCTGCCTGTATCCTATATCAGCCCCTGAAGACAGCTGCTAATCTGATCAACTGATGTGTTCTAATGGGATAAAGAGTGAGAATGGAGCAACATATTAGCCCTGCCAGGTAATTCATATCTTATTTATTTACGAATTCTTACTACCTGACACTGTTCCTGGAACACACCAGGTATTCAGTTCATGTCTGCTTAAATGAAATAGATGGAGTATGCTTCTTTTCTGGAGGCAATACCTTACTCAAAGTTAAGGCTCTCCCTCATGGTAAGAATTTCAAGTACTGTAATAACCTATAAGGGAAAAGAGTCTGAAAAAGAAATCATGGAATTCTGGATGTTAGAGCTGAAAGGAACCTTATTTCCTCATGTACAGTTGAGGAAGTGGGTCCTTTAATAAAAAGAAAAGATAATCAAATTACCTGTCCTAGATGATTTAGTTACCAGAAGACATGATGCCAAACCAGATATTCTCTTGGAGTTCCTATAAACTCCATTATTCTTTGGCTTCATGATTCTGTTTTGGACACTAACCTATAAACTCTCTGAAAAATCAGACTCATGCTCCTCTCAGTGGCCGGAGAGAAACAGTGTGGATTGGGTGGGGATAATTGTTTGGAAGCCCATGGTCCTGTCACTTAACTATTTTCTTATCTAGAATCTTCCCTCGTTTGGCATCAGCTAACACAGGAAGTGGTAATGCTATTATCTGTAGATTCAGCCAAATCACCATTTCCTGATTCCAATGTTCAACAACCACTTTTGAATCCTCCCCTCACTTCCTCTCTGCTTCAGTTTGAGGTTCAAAAGCCTCCAGGAAGCAAATTAGTACTCAGCTGAGCAGAATGGGGCCCCCGACACCCTTGTGGTTCAGCTGTTCATTAATTTGCTGTAACTCAGGTACATCCCTTCTCCAGTCTGGACCTCAGTTTTTCACTATAAGCTACAGGGTTTCTCAAGTGCCTTCTAGCTCTGAAATCTAAGATTCTTTGATGAGGTTCTGAAAGGAGAATTTTATGAACCAGCTCCTTTTGGAAAGAAAAATGTATCATACAGCCCTATGAATCTCTTATTAGCCCAAAGCTTATTTTTTTTCAGAGCACTATACTGAAACCGTGAAAGAAATCAGAAAAGCAGGAAGACTGGCAGTGTCTGCCAGTGTCTCATATGATTTGGTAAATGGACTCAGAGGATGCCAGCATCAAAGTGGTCAGAGCAGCTCTTTGCCAAGGCTGAGTGGTGGTCAAGGGAAGAGGCTGTGGGCTCCTCCTTTGATACTGCTACATTCCTCTCCAAGCCTCTGTTTTCCATCAGTTTAGCATGAACTGGTCTCCTACTCTGGGCCAGCTTGGAAGGAATTGTATCCTGGTTTTGTTTCCAAATCAGTATAGAGGTGAGGACGTCCTGTTGAGGCTCTCCAATGGTGATCATCACACTCTCTGTTTTTAACCATAGAATTAGGGTTAGAAGCCCTAGTAACTAGCACTGGTGAGATGGAAAACTCACTTCCTGGGGCAGGGTTCCACTGGGGATTGTAGAGTGAGAACTATTAAGCCTACCCTATTAAGCATAATTGGGTACCATCTTCTCCTGGGGACTCTGGAAGCCCTCAGCCTTCTCTTCCTCAGGCATTTTCTCCCGGGGGTAAGATGTTGAAAGTTGGAGGTTAAATGACTTGCCCAAAATCACACTGTTGGTGGCAGAGCAGAGATGAAAACCTCAGCCAATCTTCCAAGTCCTTAATCTGGCTCTTATGGGACCATGCCACACTTGCTCCTTGTAAAAGGGACAGTCGCACCTCCTGAGGACACTGGGCAGGGATGCCAGGTATCGATGTGACTGCCGTTCCAGTCCCCAGTGACCTTTTACATCCTGCAGCCTGCTCAGACTGTGGAGGAAGCAGCTCTGGAGCAGTGGGGGTTGCCATATGCAGAGCTGCCCCGGCGAAGATAACAGGTTGTCTGTCATGTACGAAGCCTATGTACGGCCCGGACCACAGAGCTTCCATCGGAGGAGAAATTAAACCTGTCTCACATACCAATCCCAGTGCTCTGATTACATTTACAGAGGTCATGGCCTGCATTCTGTCACCATGGAAACCTCTCATGCTGCCAGTGTTGTCTGTGTGTGTGGTTGATATTTAAAGGCAAAGTCACAGGCCCCATTGCCCAACCATCAGCTGCCAGGGGCAATCGCTCTCCTTCACCAGCCTGAGTCCTGGTGCTTCATCCAAGAGATAAGAGGAAGAGGAAGAGATGGGGAAAAGGGCCCACCTGTCTCTAACAGGCAGGCCTCCAGCAGAGCCAGGTTTGCAGGGAGGGGGCTCTGGGATGGCGGTGCTGGTATAGCAGTTGTGGGGGAACCAAAAAGCATCCCGACTGTCAGAATACAAGCATCTTCTCACAGGCACATGAGCCCACTGTTAAGTAGAGCCCTTCTTTCTCTAATAACTTCCAAGTCGTGAGCACATTTCAGAGCAGCCAGATGGAGCTGGGGAAGGCCCCTCTGCCTGAGTACCCTTGGTGGTTTCGATTTTGCACATCTGGTAGCTTGTGAAT